GCAGGTCCAGGGGTTATTTCCCATCCGAAAAAAATAAGGAGACAAAAGATGCAGTGAATTTCTGCAGCTCCTGTTTGCAGCCCTGAGGCTGTTGTGCCCTCGCTGTGAAGCTGCGGAGCTGCTGCCTCTCCTGCCTGGGGATGCTGCGGATCAGAGCCACCGGATCAGAGCCACCGGCTGGCCCTGTCCCCACTTTGCCCTCGAGCCCCGTTTCGCAGCAGGGGCTGCTGAGCCCGTGCATCCTCATCCTCGCCCAGCTCCACGCTGCTCCTCTCCTCCAGCCCAGGCAGCTCCGCTCCTCCCTGGGCTTGCAGCAGGCAGGAGCAAACCGCCCGTGGTCCCAGCAGTGGCACGGGGGTCCCTGGGCACCGACCCTCCCTGCAGCCGGGAGCTCTGCCCACAGCTGCTGCTCAGCCCCAGGTGCACCTACACGCTCCTCTCCCCATGTCTCCCCCATTAATGTCCTTGCTCTGGGGCCAACAGGAATATTTTGGTCTCGGAACAGAGATTTTGGGCTGGGATTTCTTTGGAAGACACAGAAAGGGGAGCTGGGGGGTGCTGGAAGGGGGTGGACTGTGAGCCACTGGCACTACAGCTCCCCTCCCTCACAGACGCCCTGATCCGGCCGAAAGGGCTGCCGAGACGCAGGCGACACCCAAAGTCCCCGGCAGTGCCAGGGTCCGCGTGGCGGGTGACACGTCACAGGCTGCCAAGCACAAGGCCAAAGCGATGCTGGGATGGTGACCCCGAGCAGTCCCTCTGTGCTTAAAAACCTCAAAATCCCAGGAAAGAAAGAAACTGTTGGCAATTGGAGATGGGGTTCGTGCCTGCCAACAGCCTGCGTGGCTTTGCGGTCGGATGTGCCTCTTTCACGGGGTGTTTGTCTCTTGTACGAGAGACTCGCGTGAAGCCGGAGGAAACGGGCTCAGGTAAAATGAAAAACCAAAGTGCTGGGCCCAGCCATGCCACAGGAACGGGGGTGAGGAGTTTGGGCACGGTGTGGGATGGGCATGGGGCGGGTGGCAGCACGGGAGGCTGGGGGGGGTCGCACACCCCCTACTCGTGTGCTTGGGGTGCCCCAGGTCACAAGCTATGGGACCAAGCCCGGATCTGTCAGACTTCTTTGGATGAACAGGGAGCTGCCCCTGCTGAGCTCCTCTTTCTGCCTTCCCCTCCCCAGTGTGACCAGTACAAGAAAGGAATCATTTCTGGCTCCACGTGCAAAGACCTGTGCGAGGAGCGCAGCCTCCTCTTCCAGCACTGCCTCTCCTCCTCTCCCACCCAGCAGGTAGGTCTCTGCCCGCCGGGGAAACCAACGAGCGGCAGGGGATGGGTGCAAGCATCAGACCTGGGAAACCTCCTCCTCCACCCACCCACCCGCACCTCTGCTCCTCACCCCGTCCCTGGTACCCATCCCGAAGCGGAGCAGAAACCAGTTCCCTGCACTTGCTGTTGTTTTCCTCCTGTCTCCGCCACGTCCCCTCTGCTTTGCTGTAGGTGTACAGCGGGCTCTGGAGGGAGAGGGAGGTGATCATCAAATGCGGCGTCGAAGAAGCCTTGAAGGCAGAAGGCCGCCCAGACTCCGTGCCCAGGGGACGTGGTCCTCTTTGACAAGCCGACACGAGGGACATCGATGGATGAGTTCAAAGAAATGCTCCTCAACTTCCTCAAGGTCAGTGCGGAGGGTCCCTCCGGGATCTGGCGGGCCTGGGGTGCCACTTGAGAGTCACCAAGGCTGAATGCCTCCTCCCTTCCCCCAAAATGAGAGCTCCTCCGGCCCACGCTCCCCCGTCAGCTGCTGGGCGCAGGGCAGGGCTCCTTACCCTACACCACAGAGCAAGTCCTGGATTAGCCAAGAAAAAGATCTGTTCTCGCACAGGAGTTCTGATTTGCAAGGTTTTCACAGAATCACAGAATGGCAGGGGTTGGCAGGGACCTCTGTGGGTCACCCAGCCCAACCCCCCTGCCCAAGCAGGGTCACCCAGAGCAGGCTGCACAGCACCGCGTCCAGGCGGGGCTGGAATATCTCCAGAGAAGGAGACTCCACAGCCTCCCTGGGCAGCCTGGGCCAGGGCTCCGTCACCCTCAGAGGGAAGAAGTTCTTCCTCG